AATGAGTTCTTTCTAATTGACCAGTTTTACCTATTAAGCACGACATGTATGCATATAATATTTGCACTTTTTTTGAGATCATTTCTGGTTATGCTAAAAAATATATTTTCTTATTATGAAGGAAACTATTTGGTGTTGAGAATGATTGTAAATATTAAAGTTTCTCAGTTCACCATTATAAAACATCTGTGGGACTAGAGAAGATGAGGCAACATATCATGTGTTAACATGATCGCAAGATTAAAATTATATAGAAATAAAGATCACCATATAGAGTTCTCAGTACATTCCAAATATAACAGAAAGGGAAGATAAAGAGGAGTAATTACAAAAAACATCAAATGTAAGAAGACCTATTTATTAATATATTTTCTTATGTTTTGTGTTTTAAATTATTAAATAGGTGGTGTTTCAAATAGAAATGATATATTTATTTATAGTTTGGGGATTTGTATCCTCATCAAAAACAGGTGATGACTTCTTCCATTAATTCTTCGGTGTTGATGTCATTTATGGGTCTTCTCATGTTCATGGAGATCTGTTAAGTACCAGTAACTGATGACAGGTTCCATGGGGATCACAACGTTTAGTGTACGTGGAGCAGAGTTCACCAGTGTTATAGGAAATTGATGTTACTAGTCCTAAGACTGAAAATGCTCTCCTTAAAACCATGCCGTGTCTAGAGAAGTCAGCTATTTTAAGCTGGTAACTTCTTTACTGGCACTGGCACTGTTACATACCTCAGCCATCAGTACATCTGTAAATATGAGGGAAGGGGTTCAGCAAGTGAGAATCAATTTGAAAATTTATTCCTAGATTCCGCCAAGGAGATGAATAAGCCCATTATGAATAGTGGAAACATCAGTTCCAGATACGGTGATGATGTGTTTGCTTGTAAGCTGTAAGACAGGAAGGTCTCCACTACGCTGTCTTATGATGCTGGCACTGAGCCATCCACCATATGCCTCAGGATTGATCACACTAAAAATAAGAAGGTGGCGGTCCCCTACCTGAAAATCATCAAAGCTTTCAACTCTGCTAAGGGTGACATTGACAACTGTATCATACTGACCTATCAATACAAGTCTCCAATGAAGGTCAGAAGACGGAACATTGGGCTGTTTGGCTATCTGCAGCTCCTAGATCTAACAAAGGAAATGAAAGTCCTTCAAGGAAACAACTTATACCTAAAACAGTTCAGGGGTCATGTAACATCTCGAGCAGATCAAGAGAAGCAGCTTCGGCATTATAAAACATTCCTAGAAAGGCATCACCAAAAACAAGGAAAGAAAGAAGTGCGAAATATAACTCTGTATTAGAGAGAGATAGGCATTTATGTAGGTTATGTTGTACCAGCACTAGCGTTGTGCATGGTGAGAGAGACACCAAGCCAGAATTCCTGTTATTTCTTTGCTCAGTGACCGAGAATGTGTGAGCATAATTGTCTCAAATGATTATTTTTTTGTAGATTATTAATAATGTAGTGTGTGGGGAAATTGTACTACATATTTTTGAGTTTTGAAATAATACAAACATTGTAGTGTTAACATTATTATTACTGAATAATTTTATAAACTTTTTGCCTCATCAATGTCATGTTCTCAACATTCTTAGTATTGTGTCTTCAACCTAAATTCTACCTGAATTATGTCATATTCTTATCATTTTTATATTTCTTTAAAATGTTAAAAACATTTTATTCCTATACATTGAGTTTTTCAACTCTCAAAATAATTAGAGAATTTGTGTTGCATATAATTCCTTCCCCAGTGCGTCCCGGTACATCACATCAGGATATGTATTGTTCTAGTAAATCGCTGCCGCAGGACAGTGGACTTCTTTATATTTTTTTAGTATTTGCGGAACAATAAAATAAAAACGTGCGTTAGTGGCAAGAGTGATTTGGTCATAGAGGATTTCAAAACCTTCCTGTATTTCCGTGACTTAACACTAAACAGGCAGACACAGACATGCGTTGAGGAACACTGTCTTGTCTAGAATGACTTTGTTACAGAGGCACCAGTCTCTCCACTCTGTATGGAACATGTCATGGGATGGTTTAAGTAAAAGAGAAATGACAGTAATGCCAATAATCCTCCCAGAAAGTAGTGATAATCGAGCGTATTAAACAGTTTATGTGACAATAATCATGAGTGATCAATATTTTGTGATATTTAGCCTGATTATAGCCTTAATAATATCCAATAGCCTACAAGAAATGCCGTAATATCTGTATATGAAGTCACAACAGCATTCCTGGCAAATAAGAACATAAGAACATAAGAAAGAAGGAACACTGCACCAGACCTACTGACCCATGCGGAGCAGGTCCATGTACCCCCCCGGATTAGATCAATGACCCCCCCCCCGGATTAGCCCAATGACCCACCCAGTCTGATCATCTCCACACAAGGATGGAGCACTGCACCAGACCCAGCAGCACAAGCTAGTCAGGTCCAACTTACACCCACCCACACCCACCCATGTATTTATCTAACCTATTTTTAAAACTACACAACGTTTTAGCCTGAATAACTGTACTCGGGAATTTGTTCCACTCATCCACAACTCTATTACCAAACCAGTGCTTTCCTATATCCTTTCTGAATCTGAATTTTTCCAACTTGAAACCATTGCTGTGAGTCCTGTCTTGGCTGGAAATTTTCAGCACGCTATTTACATCCCCTTTATTTATTCCTGTTTTCCATTTATATACCTCGATCATATCCCCCCTAATTCTACGCCTTTCGAGAGAGTGCAGATTCACGGCCCTCAGTCTATCCTCATAGGGAAGATTTCTGATACACGGGATCATCTTTGTCATCCTCCTCTGTACGTTTTCCAGAGCATTTATATCCATTCTGTAATACGGTGACCAGAACTGAGCAGCATAGTCTAAATGAGGCCTAACCAAGGATATATAGAGTTGAAGAACAACCTGAGGACTTCCATTATTTATACTTCTAGATATGAAGCCAATAATTCTGTTAGCTTTATTGCGAGCACTAATGCACTGTTGTCTTGTTTTTAAATTACTGCTAACCAGAACTCCTAAATCCTTTTCGCAATCAGTAGTATTAAGATCTACATCATTTAGTTTATATGTGGCATGGTTATTTACCTGTCCAACATTTAGAACTTTGCATTTGTCAATATTAAACTGCATATGCCACTTCTCCGACCATTGCATCAGTCTATTCAAATCATCCTGGAGTGCTCTAGTGTCCTCATTAGAATGAACTGGACGGCCTATTTTGGTGTCATCAAGCAAATTTGCTTATGTCGCTATTTATTCCCTCATCTATGTCGCTTATGTAAATTGTGAACAACAACGGGCCCGAACACTGACCCCTGAGGAACACCGCTTGTGAAGTGCCCCCATTCTGATTTCTCTCCATTTATGCAAACTCTTTGCTGTCTATTTGTCAGCCATGCCTCTACCCAGGAAAAAATTTCTCCTCCTATTCCGTGTGCCTTAAGTTTCCTCAATAGCCTCTGGTGTGGAACTCTATCGAAAGCCTTACTGAAGTCCATATACACAATATCATATTCATTACCATGATCTACCTCCTCAAACACCTTAGTGAAAAAAGTTAGTAAATTCGTAAGACAGGAACGCCCCTTTGTAAAACCGTGTTGAGATTCATTAATCAATCTGTGCCTGTCAAGATGGCTACGAATTGCTTCGGCAATTATTGATTCCATAAATTTTCCCACTATGGAGGTAAGGCTTATTGGTCTATAGTTAGCCTTACCTCCATAGTGGGAAAATTTATGGAATCAATAATTGCCGAAGCAATTCGTAGCCATCTTGACAGGCACAGATTGATTAATGAATCTCAACACGGTTTTACAAAGGGGCGTTCCTGTCTTACGAATTTACTAACTTAATAATGTATTATCAGTTACAAGTCGTCACAGCAACAAATCTAATTGGATTCTCCAGTACCTAGGTCGATTAATTAACATCAGACCCCGTATATTTGGGTAATATTTCCTAATATACTCACAGTAGCAGATTACTTGGTATGTTTTACTATATATACTCCCCTACAGTGTATTTTTCATAAGTTGCCATGTGATTAGTTAAATTAATGTACGTTATGTATGGGATTACCAACTACATTTGTTGTTGTAACACGTAAGCGATAATATGTTTTTTAAGTTATTCTAATACTCTTATATATGCAAAAATCACAACAACAATCCTGGTTAAATAACTTAAAAAACATATTATCGCTTACGTGTTACAACAACAAATGTAGTTGGTAATCCCATACATAATGTACATTAATTTAACTAATCACATGGCAACTTATGAAAAATACACTGTAGGGGAGTATATATAGTAAAACATACCAAGTAATCTGCTACTGTGAGTATATTAGGAAATATCAACAGCACTGCTTTGCATTATAATTCGAATAAAAAATTAATTAACTAAACAGACATTTTATGCTTCTGGGAGAAATTCGAGTAAATGTGCAAATTAAAAAAATAATTAAAATCTCTTTATGTTTATTTGTAATAGTGCGGGTTATTTGTGTATCAACAGTTGTGTCCATGTGCTCATTATACCTTAATATTTCTAGTATCCTGCCGTTAAATGCTATATGGAATACCCCCACGAGTGGGTCCAGTGACATGAAATACATCCCCATGATGCTAGTGGAGCCCTGTCACCCATAATAGTCCCCCATGATGCTAGTGGAGCCCTGTCACCCATAATAGTCCCCCATGATGCTAGTGGAGCCCTGTCACCCATAATAGTCCATGGTGACACCAATGGGATTGCCAGTTCCCAGAAGTTCCCAATCACCAATACAAGCAACATAGATTATGCATGGCCAGATGTAATGACAGAGAACACTGGGAAATCAGCCCTCACCTTGTGGCATTGTAGCTGAAGCATGATTGCTAAATCCCAAAAAACAGGTGAATGAATTGTTTAACATTAGCTGTTTCCAATAACTAATTCAGACCAGTAGATGATGTATGGTTTGGCTAATGATTTAGTGTTTATGGGGCTAACACATTTTATGTAATCAGGAGCATTTGTGAAGGTTTAAAGCTGAAAATAAAAGCCTCAATTAGCAATTGATCGAACCTGTATAAGCCTTGTCTTATATTGTATAAGGACAGGTTAGTTTTATAAATGTTGATTAAATATAATTTTTTTCTACCGTTGACGAGTTAGAAGCTAAAATTCAAACTTCTAACTAACGTGTAAGATTACTGTAAACTCTGATTTTATTAAATATTGTTTTAGTCAAGACACTAATGTAATGTTTAATGCTGTCCAAATTGAGCACGGGTTTTGTGCTCAATTTCGACAGAAGTTTTCCTGTTTTCCCGACACAAAACTTATTGCAACTACTGCAAAGCATCTTGTATATACCTCCCATCATGTTTGCAGGGAAATTCGTAGTCAGTATGTTTTTGACAGTTTCAGTGATCCTAAATATTATTTATGTCAAATCTGTAATGACAATGGATTAGACCCTAGGATCTCGTTACACGCGAGTACTAACAGGTTCTTTCTTGAACTTGTTACACTGGGTTCAGTGCTGCTGTGGATCTTCTTGGCTACTGTCAAGGCTTTTTCAACAAATTCCGCAATGTCAAAGATTTTCGCCATCTTCTCATTCAGTTACTTAGACCTGTAAATATACAAAGCTCTCCGGAGAGCTGCAAAACATACACTGCTTTAAACTTTTGCTTTGTGGTCAGAAAAATAGTGGATGTATGAGCAACCGTTGGTCCACTTCCTCCATATAGTAAACTTAAAGAAAAAAGTTCGACTCATCTGGTCTGAATGTCCAAAACTTCCTCTGTATAGTAAACTTAAAAAAAATCGACTCAGCTGGTTAGGATGTCCAAAAATGGGAGCTTATTATCCACTCCGTCCTTGACTGAGAATTAATTCAAAGGGATTTAGTCACTCAATAGAAAGTTATTCAAGTCCAGGTTACCTGGTCACAAGAAAACATAATCAACATATTTATACAACTTAGTCGAACTAGGTAAACAAGGTGCTTAGTAATAGGTTGAGAAACTTACCTGCACACAAACTAAACCTAATGTGTACAATCAGGGATACGAAATGCTTAAGCCAAATTGATTTCCCATTGCCATACCTTGCTTTTAGGCATAGAAGTTTTCCGCCATTGCTAATTTATGGTCCACTTCTCACAGTTTAATTAGCTTAATGATAATATTTTGAAGGCTTGGTATAGGAAAGTTGTCAAGCATATCTTGAGGCAGGTGAGTAAATCAGGACTGGGAACTCGAGATAACATTGCAATAACATCAAAATTCACTAAAGTAAAGTCATTTGGCTTGTCCAAACTCTGAAGTTTCTCTGTGGAACAATGCTGTTTTTTATAAGAGCATCCGAAATATTACCAATCAATTTTACTTTTAATAAATTATATGCTGCAGAACCAACAGAGCTAATTATAATTAGCCCTGTTGGTTCTGCGAACATAGGTTTATAATTATAGACTATTTGATGACCTGGTTTCTGGGTTTTAAAGTTAGGTAAGATTTGTCACTGGAGCCTTTTGGTCATCTGACCCGAGGCCTTCTGCTGGTTTGCCGCTCCAGAGTCAGATCTTAATTTTAACATTTCTCCAAATTTTGAAAGCATTTCTCGAGATCTACTGTACATAGTTGATATCTCCTGCAGACAGAGCAGAACTTTGCCTGAAACTTAATATTGATCCAGACTAATATCAGTACTTGATAAGTTTCTAAGAAAATCGGGATTAGCATGTTGGGAGCACTTTGTGCTATAAGATTGTTGAGTTTCATGGCGAGGTAACCTTCTGTTGTAGTTCACTATACACATGATCCATTCTGCTCACAAGAACTGTGTTAATAAGGTCATATGGGGTCTTATAATTTCAGTAAAACACATCCTCCTCTCGAGTCTTAACATTTTTTTAAGTACTAATCTGTGAAGTTAATCAGTGTCGTGGCGAGGCAGATCAACCTGCACTAGAGCAGCAACTTTGATAAACCTTTCCACTAAGGCACTTACGTAATAACGCTAATCCACTACTTTCTACTGAAACTCAGTGACCTATTTCCTTCATTTAAGTTCAAAGTGAAGGAAGAAGTAAACAGTAAGCTCCCATTTCTGGACGCCATCATCAGCCGAGTTGAAAGCAATTTTAAGTTCACAGTACACAGGAAATCGACCATTGCCGTCTAATACATCCACCATGATTCTATCCATGATGGGAAAGTTAAGAGAAGTGTCCTCTCTACAATATTCCTGAGACGTTTGCATATTTGCGGTCCTGAATATTTGGATGAAGATAATGCTAAACTCTCTGAGATTGCAACGAGGTTGCAATAATGAAAAACTTAAAGATGTATTACAGTAATTTAATTGTACAATAAACTCTTTTGGGTAATGGAGCTTCGTTGGAATCTCAAAGAATTTCTCGATACAGTAACTGTGTATTGTTTCAGTGTGACATTAACTTCTAAATTTATTGAATGCAAGGAATCAGAAGCTCAAGACAAAATATAAAAAGGCTGGTAAGAAGGCCGACGAAGAGAATAACAAACATTCCCTGAAATAGAAAAGAAATTCAATTACTGATTTAAATTTAAGTATATTAAAGGTGTATAGATAACATCAGATTCAATATGAACAGAAGTTAAATAACATTAAATTTGCAACTTCTGTAAATGAAATCTTTGTAGGTTATTTTTATCATGCTGAAACTGAATCAGAAATCAGAATTAAGTCATCACATAAGATACTGGCAACACATGTGGATCACTTACATGTTATAAACTTGAATTTACCTCTGCTGAAAACCTTGTGGCTGTCTGTTTACATACATATACATGAATCCTACGACTCATGCTTGCTTGTCAGGAAGAGTTGGGTTTAATAATAATTCATGTTAAATGCAAAACCCAGTACATCATTCAGCGCAAGACGTGGTAGAGGCTTGATCCTCCGTCTATTGAGAGCGAGACAGACCCGCTTCCTAGCTGTCATAATAAATAAAATAATTACGTTTTAAGGTTGTAGGTTTAACCCTACAAACTCCGACAAGTGTACGTACTCGGCTATATGGACCGGTAATGTTACCGGATATACACATTCACATCTTCCTTGTTGGAGTTCAGAGGTTCGAACCTGACGAGTTAAAGGAAGAGTTGGAGAGCATCAGTTGTGCTCTGGTTGTCCCAGTGTTCACACATGTCTACAAAATGTTAATATTCATTGTGTACGTTGGTGTTTATTTTGCTTAAACTGCATTTCTCTACCACATACTTATTCATATTACTTGAAATATCTGGTTGAGATCAACATACAGCTGATGAAGATGAAACATGGTGTTGACACACATGCTGTATTATTTGTACCTCCGGACTGACACACTGATTCAGTGGGAAAAGTACATCAATGCTCTGGTGTGACTAGAGTCGATGACTCACCTGAATGAAACCCAACCTAATAAGAAGTATGTCACACAATCACGTAGGCTTTTTAGCCAATCTCTAAGTTAGGGTGGGTTGGGCTAGATTTGTTAAGGTTAGGTTAGGTTAGGTTAGGTTAGGTTAGGTTAGGTTAGGTTAGGTTATAAAAGGAAAACTAAATACAGGAAAAAAGATGGTAAAACAGTGTGGCAGGCGACCAGCAAGCTGGTACACAGTGTGGCAGGCGACCAGCAGCTGGTACACACTATGTGCAAGCGACCGCACTGGTACACAGTGAGGGGCAGTGGCGACAGGCCAAGCTGTACAGCAAGTTTGTCAGGCGACCAGCAATGCTGGTAAACAGTGTGTCACGACGCGACCACAAGGGCTGTACAAACAGTGTGGTAGGAGACAGCAAGCAGGTACATTTAACAAGTGTGGCAGGGGCGACCACAAGCTGTGCACTCATGTGTCAGACGACCAGCAGCTGGCACACCAGTGTGTACAGGCGACCAGCAAAGCTGTTACAACAGTGTGGCAGGCGACCAGCAAGCTGGGGTACCAACAGTGTGGGAGGAGCGACCATCAAGTCATGGTACACATGTGGGCATGAGGCGGACCAGCAAGCTGGTAACAGTGTGGCAGGCGAACCAGCAAAGCTGGCACGCAGTAAGGTCCAGAGGCGACCTACAAAAGCTGCACGCAGTGTGTCAGGCGACCAAGCAAGCTGGTAACGCATGTGTCAGACGACCAGCAAGTTTCACGCATTGTGTCATGAGGCGGCCTTCAAGCTGTCAAGCAGGTGTCAGGCGACCAGCAAGAGCGTGGTACACAGATGTGTCATGCAACCAGCAAGCTGGTACACAGTGATCAGCGACCATCAAGCTAGAACGCAGTGTGACAGGCGACCAGCAAGTTGGCACGCAAAGTGGTCCAGAGGCGGCCAGCAAGCTGGCATGCAAGTGTGTCAGCGACCACAAGCTGGGCACGCCGTGTGTCAGGCGACAGCAAGCTGAGTACACAGTGTGCAGGTCGAACCAGCAAAGCTGGTACACAGTGTGTCAGGCTACCAGCAGCTGGTACATAAGTGTGTCACGACCAGCAAAGCGGTACACATTGTGGTAGAGACCAGCAAGTCTGTACAAAGTGTGGCAGGACGGACCAGCAAGCAGGCACGCATTGGTGTCAGTGCGAGCCACAAGATGGCACACAGTGTGTCATGCGGACCAGCAAGCTGTACACAGTGTGGCTAGGCGACCAGCAAGCTGGTACACAGTGTGGCAGGAGGGCGACCAGCAAGCTGGTACACAGTGGGCAGCGACCACAAGCTGGTAACCAGTGTGGCAGGCACCAGCAAGCTGGGCACGCAGTGGTGTCAGGCGACCCATCAAGCAGGTACCTAGTGGTGTAGGGCGACCAGCAAGCTTGCACGCAGTGTGTCAGGCGAACCAGCAAGCTGGTACGCCAATGTGTCATGCGACCAGCAAGCTGGTACACAGTGTGGCAAGCGACCAGCAAGCAGGCACGCAGTGTCAAGTGCGACCAGCAGCTGGTACACGCAGTGTGTCAGCGACCAGCAAGCTGGTACACTCCAGTGTTAGGTAGGCGAACCAGCAAGCTGGTATGCAGTGGACAGAGGGCGACCAGCAAGTCTTGTACGCAGTGTGTCAGGAGTACCAAAAGCCTGCACGCAGTGTGTCCAGGCGACCAGCAAGTTGGGACGGCAGAGTGTCAGGCGACCACAACTGCAGCAGTGTGGTCAGGCGACAGCAAGCTGGTACACATGTGACAGGAGACCACAAGCTGATACACAGCGTGTCGAGGCTACCAGCAAGATAGCACGCAGTGTGGTCAGGTGACCAGATAAGTTAGGCACGTCAAAAAAAGGGTTGTCAGCCAGGGGGGGCGGGCCAGCAACTGGCAATGCAGTGTGTCAGGCTGACCAGCAAGCTGCATGCAGTGTGTCAGGCGACCAGCAAGCTGCACAGCAGTGTGTCAGGCGACAGCAAGCTGGTACACAGTGTGTCCGGGCGACCAGCAAGCTGGTACACCAGTGGTTCAGCGCCCATCAAGCTGGTAACAGTGTGTCAGCGACCAGCAAGCCTGGTACACAAGTGGTGTCAGGAGGCGACCACAAGCAGTACACAGTGTGTCAGGGCGCCAGCAAGCTGGCACGCAGTGTGTAAAGCGATCCACAAGCGTGGCACGCAGAGTTGTCAGGCCGACCACAAGCAAGCTGGTACATCATGTGTCAGGTGACCAGCAAGACTGGCACGCAGTGTGTCAGGCGACAGCAGCCAAGCTGGAAACGGCAGTGTGCAGCGACCACACAATCTGGTTACAACAGTGTGACAGGGCGACAGCAAGCTGCACGCAGTGTGTCCAGGCGACCACAGCTGGTATACATGGTCAGGCGACTCAGCAATCTTGGCACGCAGTTGTGTCAGGCGACCAGCAAGCTGGTACGCAGTGTGTCAGGGCGACCAGCAAGTGTGGTACACAGTGAGTCAGGCGACCAGCAATGCTGGTGCGCAGTGTGTCAGGAGGGGGCGACCATCAAGCTGGTACACGTGGTGACAGGGCGACCAGCAAGCAGGTTACACAGTGAGTCAGGGGCGACCAGCAAGCTGGTACAACAGTGTTGGTCATGCACCAGCAAGCCTTGTACACAGTGTATCCAGCGACTAGCAAGCCTGGCACGCAGTGTGTCAGAGACCAGCCAAGCTGGTAACACAGTGGTTTCCAGCGACCAGCAAGCTGGTACATACAGTATGTCAGGGGCGACCAGCAAGCTAGGTACATCAGTGTGTCAAGGCGACCAGCAAGCAGGCACGCATGTGACAGGCGACCAGCAAGACTATGGTACACAGTGGTGTCAGGCGACCAGCAAGCTGGCACGCAGTGTTTCCAGGAGACCAGCAAGCTGGTACGCAGTGTGTCATGCGACCAAGCATCCTGGTACAAACATGTGTGTCAGGCGGACCAGCAAGCTGGCACGCCAGAGTGTCAGGGGCGACCATCAGCTGGTATACAGTGTGTACAGGCGACCATAAGCAGGCACGCAGTGTGTCAGGCGACCAGCAAGCTGGTACGCGTGTGTCTGGCGACCAGCAAGTTGGATAGTACACAGTGTGTCAGGCGACCACAAGTGGTACGCAATGTGTCAGCGGACCAAGCAAGCTGGTACACAGTGTGGTCAGTCGACTCAGCAAGCTGGTACACCAGTGTGTCTAGGCGACCATCAAGCTGTACACAGGTGTGTCAGGCGACCAGCAAGGCGGTATCAACAATTGTGTCAGGAGGCGACCAGCAAGCTGGTCGCAGTGTGTCAGCAGGCGACCGGGGGGGTCAGCAAAGCTGTACACAGTGTGTCAGGGCGACAAGCAAGCAGTACACAGTGTGTCACGCGACCACAAGAATGGGTACACTGTGTGGTCAGGCGACCAGCAAAGCAGGTACACAGTGTGTCCTGGCGACCAGCAGCCTGGTACACCGTGTTTCAGGCGACCACAAGCAGTACGCATAGTGACGGCGACCAGCAAGCTGGTACGCAGTGTGGCAATGCGACCCAGCAAGCTGGTACGCAGTGATATGGCAGGCGACCAGCAAAGCTGGCACGTAGTTGTGGCCAGGCGACCAGCAAGCTGTCAGCGTCATGTGTCAAGCGACCAGCATCTGCCACGCATGTGTTAGGCGACCAGCAAGCTGGGGCACACATTGGTGGTGGGCAGACGACCAGCAAGCTGGCAACGAAGTGTGCAGGCGACCAGCAGCTGACACGCAGTGTGTCAGGCGACCCAGCAAGCTGGTACACAGTGTGTCAGGGCGACCAGCAGGGCCTACACAATGTGTCAGAGCGACCCAGCAATCTGGTACACATGTGTGGCAGGCGGACCAGCTAAGCGGCACGCAGTGTGTCAGGCGACCACAAGCTGGTACACAGTGTGTCAGGCGACCACAAGCTGGTACAAACAGTGTGGTCAGGCGACCACAAGCTGGTACACACAGTGTGTCAGGCGACCAGCAAGCTGGTACAAACATGTGTCAAGCGACCAGCAAGTTGTTACACATTGTGTCGCGACCATCAAGCGGTACACAGTGTGTCAGCGCCAGCAAGCTGAACACAGTGTGTCAGGCG